ACCCTATTCCTAATGGCTCTAATGTTTGTATTCTATGTTAACTTAGAAAAAGGATTTAAAAAGCTGCATGTAGCCAATCAGGAACAAAACATTCCCTGCTGCTCCTTGAGGTTTGATCCATTGTATAGCATAAGTATGAAAATACACTTAGCACCTTGATTTTAGACACTGCATGTTATATTGAAAACGAAACACAGGCAAGCAACATCACTTAAAGGCAGTGCTTTATGCAACAGAAAAGGAGAATATGAGATCTCTGAGAATCAGCAAAAGCTTAGAAAATACTCAGTAGCATGCCCTTTGGTTAGTCCCCACATCCCATAATTGCTCAGTTGTCCCATTACAGAGGGAACCTGTACCATTTGCATATTAGACAGTCCATATGTAAAATACTGGCACGTTCTCTTTGTATGAGAGATACAGCAACCCCGGATGAACATTTCATCCTTCTTTGGGCATCAGCAAGGTGTACTGATACCCCTCAGCTTGCCCATTTCAATGACAAGCCTCTGATTAGTGGATTTTCTGGCACTGACTGAAGTCTATTCTAGGGAAAGAGGAGAGGACTTGCAAAGCAGGTCTGCAGCTTTTACAAGCTGGTTTTCATATAAACCCAAAGGAAAAATGCTGAAAAAAATTACTTACATGTTTTCATATTAAATATATCTACTAAATATAAATAAAAATGAAATGTTCCTTTAATGGCATAGTAGAGAAACATTATTTTTAAACTTTAGGTTTTTTATTAGGCCATGCTTATTAACACAGAGCATATCCCCTTTATACCTATAGTTTAAAGCATTTGACACTCTTGGGTGCATTCTCCCCAGGAAAGTCGCCAAAGATCTCAAAGCCTAAAACTAGCTGGAGTACATGTTTCTATGTTTAAATTGTTCTGGCCCCCAAACCGGTATTTGCACAACAAAATAGACACCTGTCCATATTGCTATGTTTTAAAGTAATGCCCTCTCTCTTTCTAGATCTTTGTAAGTGACATAATATTTTAATATTAAATGCATCTTTACCCACATGCTAGAATCACACTAAGCGTGCCTTCGTTTAGGTCTCCCATGCTTCCAAAGCCCACTCGCAAGTTTTCTCTTATTTTGATTTTGGGATTGATTAAGAGGCAAGTTGATACATCCCCATATTTTTTTCAGAACTGCTTTAATGCAATCAAGCCTAAAGAAAAGAGGGTCTCACTGCAAGGGACCATTATGTCTCAAGTCCCATTATGGTCTGACATGATCTATTTAACACACACGGGGAAACATTTATCAAAGTGTTCTGTTCTAAAAAGTGGTGAAAAAATGTTACAGGAGAAGATTCACCAATCGAATGTGCCTGTTAGTTTTCACTGGTTTCTACTTTGATTGCCCCACTTTTAATGTGTGAAACTACTTTTTAGAACAGAACACTTTGATAAATCTTCCCCAAAGTCTCTCATATTAGCTACATCCAATGAAAAGTCAACTGTTATGTTTTAGAAGAACACATGAGAGTCTAGATTGTATAGCATTTAAGTGGGTCAATGCCCAATTACGATGTACTGTGAATGTGATGGTTTATTTCTCAAGTCTGTCATTTACCCCGAAAGGCAATTAGCTAGTTGATTCTAACAAGACTGGTTTCCCTTCGGATTATATTATAATGCATGTGTTGATAATTTCCCTTACCCTTGAGTATGTTCAAGTAGTTAATATTTATAATAATTAAATTCTGCTGTCCCTTGCAAAAACAAATTAGTTATAACTTTTGTCCCTCGCCCCACAAACCACTTCAAAACCACTTATGTTATATGAATTAATATTAGTATCTGCAACATTCATTATCATCATTGCACAGCTCAGCATGTTTATTATTACAACAAATATGAAATAATATGTCGCTTACAAAGATTTAGAAAGAGAGAGGGCATTTTGCAACTTTTATGGTTGGCCAAGCTTTTCAAAATTGTACTGCTACTAATGTAAATAGGTCAACATTTTAACGTAGAATATTTATTGAAAGTGCATATAAATGTTTTGCAAGCATTTTAGTATGAATCTACAGAATGTACTGTAGTCAATGTATTAAAATGCTAATCAGGTTGTTTAAGTTTCATGTACATACCCAGGGACAAGTAAATTGTCATCATAACAAGCCAAGTTCTAAAGGTCATTTTGGTGCATATTTATAGTAAGGAGGTATTAGCCATAAAGTTGAATACAAAATGATACAGGTCCACAATCAATTTATAGATTATAACGCATACTTGCACACACAGTGTAAAAAAAATATATCATCTGAGCAATGAAATTGAAATGATATAATAGAAAAGATTTACTGCTAAATGAAAGTAATATTAAATGCGTATTTTTGCATTAATACACTAAAATTCATTTAACCAATTAGCTAATTCAAAATATAAAAGCTGTAAAACATGTTTAAACTGAACCTGTCCTTACCTACATGATTAGGGTCAGTTTATTAAGAATAATATTTCATCTATGCAATGTGCTAGCAAATGGCTTACTATTAGTGGTTGAACCATTAATGATTGGTTTAACCCCAACGTCTTCAATCCGGCACCCACCAGCACTGCATTGAACTTCTGTTTCAGTCCGAGGATCTCAACCTACCACTAGCCACTTTTAACAAAATTGAGTGTAAAAGAAATAAAAACATTGGGGTTAAGCCATTCGTAAATGGTTAAGAAAATATACATTTAATTCTGCTGAAGTTGTTATAGTGCCCATATTGTCCCTTTAAGAATGAAATATTTTGGCCTTCTTATGTTTTATTGCTATTCAATCAGTTGTGTTGTCAGCCTGATTCCTTCCTCCAGGCTGCAGGGTGTCATTGTAAGGTTGTGCTATTTCTGCATTCTGAGCTTTCACAACTTAAAAGACCTCGTGAGATAATGAGATTAAGATGAACTTAATCTAACATTAACGGGACGTTCCAATCACCACAACCACTTTAGCTTATTGCTAAGGTTATACGGCTATGAAGCTGTCCCCGAAAAGCTATCTTGTGAACTCACGGTTACTCATGTTATATACGTATAATCATCACTGATCTTATGAGCTATCCAAACCCTAGTACAGCTTGAGTATACTGTAACTGCTGACACTCTACTAGCCAGTCTTCTTTACTTGCAGATTCATTGTTAGAAACTGTTCTCTTTGAGTAGTTAAGGGTTACATATCAAAAGGTATATGGTTTGTACTTTTAGAATACTTGTGCATTCTTGGTTTTAGCCTCTCCTTTTAATTCTACCCCTTACTAGACTTACGATAAAGGTGATTAACTATATGTGAATGTCTGATTTTATTCCATTTACTTATGCTCTCTCTTGTCTGGCTTTTTTCCCAGGTATTACCTAACTCTTTGTATCTCTCACTCTCCCAGAACCATCTCTGCTATTTACAAAACACCATTCCCACTCTCCCTAACTGGTATGTCACCTATGGTGGAGGAACTATCAGGGTTACATTGCTCACAGGCTATGTAGTTCTGCCAGATAAGGGGTGACGTAGGCCAGGCTGATGCCACCAACCCAGTAAAACCAGTATTTAGTTTGTTGCCAATTCAGCAATATAATTAATACCAAATTAATGCAGGGAGCACTTTACGTGCTGGCGCATAGTGAATGAGTGATAACATGGCAACGCTCTGACCCATTCACTGAGCACTGGAGCAGAAGAGCACCTGCTGGATATGTGGACCACATACTCCTCCACAGGATCACCAATGTGTGCTGGAAATATTTATAGTGACCTCAAAGAATGCTCGTATATTGAGAAAGCACAGAAAGATAAAATCAAGAGGAGACATTTTACCCCAAACTGGCATAGGCTTGATTTTAATATGTGTGACTGGAAATAGTTAAATTGATGGAGAATGAAATTCACCAAATCGAGGAGCCCTACTATATGTCAGCTCAGCAGCACCACAAGACCACTGTAGACCATACCCCATGCCCTGCAGAACCATTATCAGGAGGGTAATAAACACTTTAAAGGAGCATACACACAACCACACACACAAACACAAACACATTCAGCCAACCTCACACACAATAAAACACAGCTAGCTTTAGACTAAATCAAACTCAGCAAACCTCACACACAATCACACTCAGCCACTCTCACACACAATCACACTCAGCCAACCTCACACAACTCCATAGTCAATCACACTCAGGCAATTCTACACACAATCATATTCAACCAGCCCCACACACAATCATGATCAGCCAACTCATATCACACAGAACCAACCAGCAAAAGCACACTCAGCCATCACACACACCCCACTTAGTTGTATTCCTTAAGGTCCAACAACAGGGGGCTTTTTTATTCTTGCACCAGGGCCCAGTAAACCCTACCAATATCCATGGTCACCAGTGTCAAGTTACACATTTTAACCCCTTAAGGACACATGACGTGTGACATGTAATGATTCCCTTTTATTCTAGAAGTTTGGTCCTCAAGGGGTTAAACTCCATCATATTGATCAGTATTGCTTCTGAGTGAGTTTCTGAGAGGAAACTCTGAAAAGCTGCTGGTTCAATAAAGAAGTCAAATTACATAATGCAATATCTCTGTTACCTTGTAAAAAAAAAATATATTATTATAATTAGCATCTTGCCTTAAGATTTTGTTTTACAGCTTTTATATTTGTCTGCTGTGTTCCAAGCACAAATGATCTCTGCAGTCTCTAACACAAGTCCAGCTTGTACTGTATGGTCATATCACAAATTGTCCCCTAGATGGCAGTAAACACATAAAGACTGATTGAGGTGGTTTGCTGACGGGGATACATTACAATGATGGAAACGGTGAATGTTCTCTCCTCAGTGCAGAAACTCCACACTGCTTCAGAGTTGCATGCGAGAGGTTCATTGAAAAGAAGGGAAAGAATAACAGGACTACTAGCAGTGAGAGTCTTTCTTCTGTCAACCTCTAGACTTGACATCATGAACGGTACAATTGATAAGAACAAGGAACAGTAAAGTTAATTCTCTCTGCAAAAAACTGGAGCAAGGTGGGAAATTATTTTTCCAAAACTTAATTGTTGGATCTGTTTAGTGGTTTTTTTTTTTTATTGGTTTTTTTTTTTTAATTTTTATAAACAAACACACATATATATATGCATTTGAGAGTTTCTGTTCAGGAACTGAATGGCTACATTTTTTGTCGGTTCTAGAACTATTCTGTATCATCAACATGGACTGAGAAGAATGTGACCAGAAAGCCACCATAAGAGATTCTCTCCTCCTAGAATGCCTGTAAAAGACACTCTTTGACCATGAATGTGTGCCCTTGCCAGGGGCCCATGCTGTCCACTCAACAAATATTAAAAAAGGATGGCAACCAGAGAAGAACTGCTAGTTTGATCACTGGCTTTGCAAGGTGACTGTGTTGGACCTCAATGTCTTCTTGGAGATATTCTGTACACACATGGGCTTCTCAACTCACAATGGTTATCGATATCAACAGCAGCCACCTATATGATAACATTAGATCCTTTCTGATAGACGACCTGAGGGATTACAGCACCACTATAATGATTTCTGGTTCATTCAACCCACATCTTCTGAAGATCATCCAAGATGCAAGTGCCACCACCACGAATCCCATGCCAACCTCCAGTTTCCCCAGTGAAAATGACACCCAGTGTGGAGAGCAGATCCTTAACTATGGTCACATAGAAAAGCTGGTGATAGGAGCCATGCTTTCTCTTATCACTTTACTTACAATTGCAGGGAATTGCTTGGTGGTTATATCTGTGTGCTTTGTGAAGAAACTTAGACAACCTTCAAACTATCTGATTGTGTCCCTAGCATTAGCAGACCTATCAGTGGCCATTGCTGTCATGCCTTTTGTTAGTGTAACTGACCTCATTGGGGGTGAATGGATCTTTGGTCAAGTATTTTGCAATGTATTTATTGCAATGGATGTGATGTGCTGTACAGCTTCCATCATGACTTTGTGTGTTATTAGCATTGACAGGTAAGAGCCTCTAAAATGATTTACCTTTTTTTCTGGTAATCCCTGCATGACGTTTCTTATTGGTGTTCATTAATTGTGTTAATAATATTTCCGCTGTTAAAATGTTTCTGCACCTGAGTTGAGTTTAATTTTTAAAGTTTAGGCAATATTCGTTTTATGGCAAAGTATTATTTCCACCAATAATAACCTTATTCATCGACTAAGTAAAAAATAAATAAATCTCTGAACACAACTAATTTTTTTATTAGTGCATAACTAATTAATAATTAATACTAGCAGAATCGAGATCAAGAACCATCCACTTCTCAAATGTTCTGTATAAATAGTTTATCAACCAAAAAAAGGGTAATGCATGAGCAATTTATTGTTGGTGATTTGTTATATTTTTTTTATTTATTTAAGATTTTTGCATACCTAATGCGCATATATGAACTCAAGAAAATGCACAAAATGTAATGCATTAATGCAACTAAATAAAGGGACATTTGGAGAAAAATCAAACACATTATTGCACATATCCTACAGCAGGGATAGGCAACCTTCGGCACTGCAGATGTTTTGGACTACACCTCCCATGATGCTTTGCCAGCATTATAGCTGTAAGAGCATTGTGGGAGATGTAGTTCACAACATCTGGAGTGCCGAAGGTTGCCTACCCCTGTCCTACAGTATATATATATATATAATTCACGCTGGGTCCCGCACTCCTGCTCCCAGTCTTGTTTATTGCCTAGGTGCCACTCCGAACTCAAAATATAAAATACCTTGTTGGAAGTGCACTCATAGGACTCGATACTGTTGCCAAAAATGTGTCATTTATTCAAGCTTCAAAAGTTGATAACATAGTGTCGATGTTTCAGCCCACTAGGGAATTTTTTCTTGAAAAAAGTCCCTAGTGGACTGAAACGTCGACACTATGTTATCAACTTTTGAAGCTTGAATAAATGGCACATTTTTGGCAACAATATCGAGTCCTGTGAATGCACTTTATATATATATACAGACATACACACACACACACAAAATGTATGGTTATTATTTCTTTAACTGATGGTATGTGAATAAGGAAGTTAAAAACAATTATCTCTGTAGAACATTTTGGCAAGTTACATTCCATAAATAATATTTTACGATCATTTTAATGTTACAAGCTTCCTTAATAAGAAATAACATAAAAGTGAATATGCTTCATCCTGAAATGCAATTTACGGGAATTAAATATTTTTTTTAAATAGTGAAAAGTTTGAGCTCATGAAATAAATTGTTCCAATAACTTTTTGAAACCACTGTATTTTCGGAACATCTTGAAATCACCTTAAAAAACAACACATTTGTGTTTCATTAAGGAAATCATAATATGCTTTATGTTTCTGAATTAATTATTCATGCAGATACATAATGTTCCTTGAAGCGGAGTATTAACATTTCAGTGGTTTTCTTCTTTAATATGGATTTTTATGTCTTGCTTTATTACTATCTAATATTAAAAACATATCTTACAAGGAATACATGAATAGAGGTGAAAGCTTCCAAATATCTGCTTTTATTTTACATTTTTCTTCTCTTTTGGGACCTTCAACATGTTGAAATGGCCAGATTAAAATTTATTTGTCAAACTCTGGTCCTGATGGGGTTACTTAAGGTGTCAAAATTGTCACATTAACATATATTTGTCTAACTCTGTTCTTGCAGTGGTTACGTTAATGATAAGCATCCCACCTAATAGAATATAGAGTTGTTTTGAGTTATCTCCAGGGCTCTTGTGATTTCTACACTCACATATAGACATATGATTAGTTGACATGTTAACGTAAAGCAAGCTGCCTGAGGAATGTATTGGCAATGTGTTTGTCTTATCTTATGACAGACTTGTTACCTCGCCTTCCTTACATAGAGAGTGAGAGAAGGATAATTATGTACACTCTTTAAATGGGTGCATATGTGAAATTTGTCTACAGTACCTTAAAGTAAATATGTAACATTTATGGCTCTATTTAATAAAATAAGTATGCTTTATTTAGTTTTGGATCTGAAGACAGACCTACTATCAGTAGGATACAGACGCTTTCAGGAGCATAACGTCTTGGAGGAGTGGCAGGCTGGGGATGATTATAATACGATAGATAGTAATAATAATATAATAAGATAGCTTTGGACCCAAACATTTGTTGCAGAACTTCTAGATAAATTAGGTAAAGATTAGAATTCTGAAAGTAATACAGTGTGAAAGAGACACACTAAGCACTATTATCATTACAGCACACTGTAAGGAGGTCCCATGAACCATCAAACGATTATCTTATGCTAGACCAGTATTTACAAGCCTTAAAGGAACACTATAGTGTTAGGGATACAAACTACGGTTACCTGTTCAATGTGTAGGTCCCCAGCCTCACTGCAAGTGCATGAAAACGTGTTTAAACTTACCTTTTTTTCCATCGCCTCTTGCTGTGGCTGGCCCTGCCTCCATAGCTGAGATCATCAATCTCTCCTGTAGGAAAGCATTGGGAGGCTATTGCACATGTGCAGCAAAACACTGCGCCAATCAACATCTCCTCATAGAGATGCATTCAGTCAATTCATCTTTATGGCGACCTTTTAGCGTTTCCATGCAGAGCCTATGTCAGTGCAGCACTGACATAGAAAACACCTCTAGTGGCTGACTGAGTGACTGTCACTAGAGGTGTTACTAGGCAGCAATGTAAACATTGACGTTTTGCTGAAAAGGCATTGTTTACATTGAATAGCCTGCAGGAAAAGGCTATAGATACCAGAATCACTACATTAAGCTGTAGAGGTTGTGGTGACTATAGTGTCCCTTTAATGTATGTTTTTGTCTACGTACCTAACTGTGAGTGTATGTCTCTATATATGTATCCATGAGTGTTCCAAGAGGTATACAGGGAGTGCAGAATTATTAGGCAAATGAGTATTTTGACCACATCATCCTCTTTATGCATGTTGTCTTACTCCAAGCTGTATAGGCTCGAAAGCCTACTACCAATTAAGCATATTAGGTGATGTGCATCTCTGTAATGAGAAGGGGTGTGGTCTAATGACATCAACACCCTATATCAGGTGTGCATAATTATTAGGCAACTTCCTTTCCTTTGGCAAAATGGGTCAAAAGAAGGACTTGACAGGCTCAGAAAAGTCAAAAATAGTGAGATATCTTGCAGAGGGATGCAGCACTCTTAAAATTGCAAAGCTTCTGAAGCGTGATCATCGAACAATCAAGCGTTTCATTCAAAATAGTCAACAGGGTTGCAAGAAGCGTGTGGAAAAACCAAGGCGCAAAATAACTGTCCATGAACTGAGAAAAGTCAAGCGTGCAGCTGCCACGATGCCACTTGCCACCAGTTTGGCCATATTTCAGTGCTGCAACATCACTGGAGTGCCCAAAAGCACAAGGTGTGCAATACTCACAGACATGGCCAAGGTAAGAAAGGCTGAAAGACGACCACCACTGAACAAGACACACAAGCTGAAACGTCAAGACTGGGCCAAGAAATATCTCAAGACTGATTTTTCTAAGGTTTTATGGACTGATGAAATGAGAGTGAGTCTTGATGGGCCAGATGGATGGGCCCGTGGCTGGATTGGTAAGGGCAGAGAGCTCCAGTCCGACTCAGACGCCAGCAAGGTGGAGGTGGAGTACTGGTTTGGGCTGGTATCATCAAAGATGAGCTTGTGGGGCCTTTTTCGGGTTGAGGATGGAGTCAAGCTCAACTCCCAGTCCTACTGCCAGTTCCTGGAAGACACCTTCTTCAAGCAGTGGTACAGGAAGAAGTCTGCATCCTTCAAGAAAAACATGGTTTTCATGCAGGACAATGCTCCATCACACGCGTCCAAGTACTCCACAGCGTGGCTGGCAAGAAAGGGTATAAAAGAAGAAAATCTAATGACATGGCCTCCTTGTTCACCTGATCTGAACCCCATTGAGAACCTGTGGTCCATCATCAAATGTGAGATTTACAAGGATGGAGAACAGTACACCTCTCTGAACAATGTCTGGGAGGCTGTGGTTGCTGCTGCACGCAATGTTGATGGTGAACAGATCAAAACACTGACAGAATCCATGGATGGCAGGCTTTTGAGTGTCCTTGCAAAGAAAGTTGGCTATATTGGTCACTGATTTGTTTTTGTTTTGTTTTTGAATGTCAGAAATGTATATTTGTGAATGTTGAGATGTTATATTGGTTTCACTGGTAACAATAAATAATTGAAATGGGTATATATTTGTTTTTGTTAAGTTGCCTAATAATTATGCACAGTAATAGTCACCTGCACACACAGATATCCCCTAACATAGCTATAACTAAAAACAAACTAAAAACTACTTCCAAAAATATTCAGCTTTGATATTAATGAGTTTTTTGGGTTCATTGAGAACATGGTTGTTGTTCAATAATAAAATTAATCCTCAAAAATACAACTTGCCTAATTATTCTGCACTCCCTGTATATTGTAGGTGTTAAGGAGTTTAGTTATGGAAAAAACAGGGGTAAGATTTTGGAAAGGGTTCATTAATTAATTATTTTAGGAAGCATGGGAAAGGTCCTTTAGCCATGTGCATTTTTGATGCTAAAATTTTTTAGCATCGGTTTGAACATTATTCATTGACTGAGAGCCATCAGCTAACATTCTCAGGCAATGGATAATGTAAGAATCTGGTATGAGTTGGTATGATAATGCTGCAATACGGACTATTGCTTTATTAGATCAACCAGGACCAATAGTGGGCACCCGACAAAGCAAGGCAAGTGTCAAACCATTCGTAAAATGCTTGACGCCTCCCTGTCGAAAGTGTCCTGGCACCAAAACCACTACAGTAAACCATTGTTTTTATAGTGCCTAAAGTGTCTATCTAAGACCATCAGATGAATAAATCAAAGAGGCTAACAAAGAAAGGTGTTTGTTCTACCATCACTCCCTCACTAGGGCACTCACTATATCGAGCAATTTTTTTGCTGTTTATTTGTATTTTTTCACCACTCCACCAC